CGACTGAAATCGAAAACAATCGCCACCAAAAACAACATTGAAAATTTTAATGTGGGCCATCGTGGTGTCAGATTTATGAGACGTAAAGGACTTTCCATCAGGGTGAGGACAACTTTGTTTCAGCAACTCCCTCCCGACCACGAGGAAAGGCTTAAAGCTGTCCCTCCTCCAGCTCAGCTCTGCGGAAGTAGTCTCGAGTACCATAGTCAAGTCTGTACATATTTTAATAAGTTTTAAAATTCTTACTCTGTGACATTTTTCTGTGTACTGTACATGTGTGTTTAAATACACAGATCTAGGGTAACTTTAAGCTCACATCCGAACATTAAATGGAGCGGAGACAACAACAGGGGCTGTTCCTCCCCCCAAGTGAGCTCAGCGAAGTCAAGATTTTATTTTAAAGCAGTCAGTCAAGACTGGTACATATTTAAATCAAAATTTAAAAAGAATCTTTGTCTACAGTAAATGTGTTTAAATACCAGTATCTCATTTAAGCTCATCTCATGCATGAAACTGAGCAGGGGAGAGGGAGGGGTGCTGTTCCCCCTTACTCCCCCCACTCCTCATTAGCGCTGAAGAGAAATCCCATCATGTTTATTTAAGATAAGATAATTTAGAAAGTAAAGGCAGATTTTAAAACGGCAGCTGATACCAAAACTGTTTAAAAATAACAATCAGTGGTATTACCAGTGATTTAATGAACATTTACCACATTTATCCGAACTACGGTATTTCACTTCCAGTCACATGATCCCGTTACGACTTTTTTGTAATATTTCCCGGTATATAATTTTTTATTAATTTCAGTTACTTAGGTGTTTGGCACTTTAATGTCCAGTGATTAAGCTTACCGGTAGATATTTACTGGTATTTTGTTCATTTTGAAGGTATAATGGTTAGGAGTCATCAGGACTCTGTACCACAGAGCAGACAGCGTCCCCACTAGCTCAGGAGCCAGGCAGAAGGAGAAATCCCACACAAGACAGGCTCTAGAGCAATGTGGATATCCTAACTGGGCCTACCTGAAAGCAGAGAAGAAACCCAAACAGGACTCCAGTCAGCCAACTGGTGAAAAGGAGGAACCCAGACCCAGACCAGTGGTCATTCCATATGTTGAGGGAGTATCAGAGAAACTGAGACGTTTATTTTCTAAACATAACGTCCCAGTGGCTTTTAAACCCCAAAATACATTAAAGACTGGTTCTTCCCAAAGATCCAGTCCCCCAGCACAAACAGAGTAATGTTGTGTATGCTGTTCAGTGTCAGGAGGGTGATCAGTCTTACATCGGGGAAACAAAACAGCCACTGGCCAAAAGGATGGACCAGCACAGAAGATCAACATCATCAGGCCAGGACTCTGCGGTCTACACTCATCTCCAGGCCAGTGGTCACTCTTTCAGGGATGAAGATGTGCACATCCTGGATAGAGAGGAACGATGGTTTGAGAGAGGAGTAAAGGAGGCCATCTTTGTGAAAAGAAACCGTCCATCATTAAACAGGGGTGGAGCCTCCGGGTTCAACTGTCCCCCTCTTACAATGCTGTGATTGCTAGTATCACTCAACCCCCTTTGAATAGTAAACAGCCATCAGGTGCTAATGATCCATTGTTAGGCTGATGGTCCTTCTTGAGCATGTGATCAGCTGGTTTTGGTTGTTAGCAGCAAAACTGGTTGATCCACTCTGAGAAGGTGCTATTTAAGAGACTGAGCTGAAAACAGCACCTCAGACTGAGGAAGTCTTTCTGATGAAAGACGAAACATTTCTACATTTTTTTTGTTGTTTTACTTTTTGTTTTTTGAATGTCCAGAGGACCAGAATTAACTTATTTAGATATATGTACAGTAGTTCATCTTTTTCTGCCCATCTCGCTGCCAACTTCACGCAGCCCCCACTGCTGCTTCACACACTCTTACTAACATCGTGAAGCCGGTACAGCTGGTGAGGATTATTATTTAATATATTTAAATACATGTCTAAAAAACAAACTTTAATATATGTAGCTAGTTTATTTTTTAGACATTTATTTTGTACAGTTACAGCTGTTGTTAAATGGTAAATGGACTGCACTTATATAGCACCTTTCTATCTTATTTCAAGATACTCAAAGTTCTTTACAACAATCTGTGCCTCATTGACCCATTCATACAGCTCTATACTAGATCTCTACAAAGCTAATTGAACGAATCATTCTAAAGAGACTAATCAGAGCTTTAGATCACATTCATACACTGATGGGACACACATCGTAGGCTATGAGGGGTTCAGTGTCTTGCCCAGGGACACTTGGGCATGTGACTGCTGGTGGATTCAAACCCCCAACTCCTGCATTGGATGTTGACTGCTTTAACCATTCAGCCACAGCCGCCCATTTTATTATTGTTAATAAATGTGCCTGCATATTTTTATTACTTTAAGGAAAGAAAATAATATCAGGATATATATCGTATATTGTGATTTATCTTAAAATACTGCGATATTCATTTTGGTCTATATCGCCCAGCCCTAACCCTAACCCAAAATTCCCATATCGGTCGGGCTCTACTACAAAGTACTGAGACTCCCCTAAAAACACCAAAATATGACCGTTTGGTTTAATGAACTCAAGGTATGCAGGTCCTTCTCAAAAAATGAGCATATTGTGATAAAGGTCATTATTTTCCATAATGTAATGATAAAAATGAAACTTTCATATATTTCAGATTCATTGCACACCAACTGAAATATTTCAGGTCTTTAATTGTTTTAATACTGATGATTATGGCATACAGCTCATGAAAACCCAAAATGCCTGTCTCAAAAAATTAGCATATCATTAAAAGGTTCTCTAAACAAGCTATTAACCTAACCATCTGAATCAACAACATAACTCTAAACACCTGCAAAAGATTCCTGAGGCTTTTAAAAACTCCCAGCCTTGTTCATTACTCAAAACCACAATCATGGGTAAGACTGCCGACCTGACTGCTGTCCAGAAGGCCATCATTGACACCCTCAAGCAAGAGGGTAAGACACAGAAAGAAATTGCTGAACGAATAGGCTGTTCCCAGAGTGCTGTATCAAGGCACCTCAGTGGGAAGTCTGTGGGAAGGGAAAAGTGTGGCAGAAAATGCTGCACAACGAGAAGAGGTGACCGGACCCTGAGGAGGATTGTGGAGAAGGGCCGATTCCAGACCTTGGGGGACCTGCGGAAGCAGTGGACTGAGTCTGGAGTAGAAACATCCAGAGCCACCGTGCACAGGCGTGTGCAGGAAATGGGCTACAGGTGCCGCATTCCCCAGGTCAAGCCACTTTTGAACCAGAAACAGCGTCAGAAGCGCCTGACCTGGGCTATAGAGAAGCAGCACTGGACTGTTGCTCAGTGGTCCAAAGTACTTTTTTCAGATGAAAGCAAATTTTACATGTCATTCGGAAATCAAGGTGCCAGAGTCTGGAGGAAGACTGGGGAGAAGGAAATGCCAAAATGCCAGAAGTCCAGTGTGAAGCACCCACAGTCAGTGATGGTCTGGGGTGCCATGTCAGCTGCTGGTGTTGGTCCACTGTGTTTTATCAAGGGCAGGGTCAATGCAGCAGCTATCAGGAGATTTTGGAGCACTTCATGCTTCCATCTGCTGAAAAGCTTTATGGAGATGAAGATTTCATTTTTCAGCACGACCTGGCACCTGCTCACAGTGCCAAAACCACTGGTAACTGGTTTACTGACCATGGTATTACTGTGCTCAATTGGCCTGCCAACTCTCCTGACCTGAACCCCATAGAGAACCTGTGGGATATTGTGAAGAGAAAGTTGAGAGACGCAAGACCCAACACTCTGGATGAGCTTAAGGCCGCTATCGAAGCATCCTGGGCCTCCATAACACCTCAGCAGTGCCACAGGCTGATTGCCTCCATGCCACGCCGCACTGAAGCAGTCATTCATGCAAAAGGATTCCCGACCAAGTATTGAGTGCATAACTGAACATGATTATTTGAAGGTTGGCGTTTTTTGTATTAAAAACACTTGTCTTTCATTGGTGGGATGAAATATGCTAATTTTTTGAGACGGGCATTTTGGGTTTTCATGAGCTGTATGCCATAGTCATCAGTATTAAAACAATTAAAGACCTGAAATATTTCAGTTGGTATGCAATGAATCTGAAATATATGAAAGTTTCATTTTTATCATTACATTATGGAAAATAATGACCTTTATCACAATATGCTAATTTTTTGAGAAGGACCTGTATTTAAACAGGTTTTTTTTTCTCACAAGTTTGATTATTTATCATTTAAATTCAAATAAACTGAACCCCATAATCTCAGCAGAATATGTAAAACACCCTAATCAGTGCCATATGAGATTGCGATAGAAGATCAGAACCTCATAGTTAGTTTATGTTTTTCTAGCACTACATCGACCAAATACTGATCAGGTATTTCTCCTGAATTGTGCTTTATCAGCTGTACCTCATCCATATGATGCCCAGAAAGATGAACATAAACCCTACAATGCAGCTGAAACGCTTTGTTGATGTGCATTTCTTCACATCATCTATTTAATAAACACGTTTCTAAATTCAACCAAGCTTCTGAGAGTATCTTTGTTTCCAGAAATGTAAAAACACATGAGTAAAGTTGGAAATGACTCCGACTCAGAAGTGCCAGCAGCGGCGCACTTCAGTTCTGAGACATTGAATCAGCGCTGGACACATCTGCATCTTTTTACTTAGTGAGGTGGAGGCATGTCAGGAGGAGTCTATGTTCATCAGGATGTATGAAGGAAAGGAGCACAGAACTATGTGTGTGCACAGTTTGATAAATGTGAATATTTAGTTTTGTCTCTATACCAACTTTCAGTGTGAAACTGATACATGAGGCCCCTGGTCCTGATCCCAGTTCTGCTTTTAGCTGAGATAAGACACCAGCTGTAACAATGATCGGTTAAACCTTCCAAACATGAGCCGAGTGTTTGTTGGGTTGGACTGCTACTGGGTGGTAATGTAGTTTCATGCATTTCCTCACAGACAAAGCTACGACATCAGTATTGTTGCCCAGGTGGACCAAACAGGATCAAAGTCCAGTAACCTTCTGGACTTGAAGAATCCCTTTTTCAGGTGAGTTCAGTTCTTAATTAAATTTATTTAGTTATTTATTAACTTTTTATTTAACCAGGCAAATTCTATTGATATCATAAACCTCCTTTGCAAGGGGGACCTGGTCCAAGGAATTAGCATTCCTTGAAGGAATGCTTTTCTCCCGCCATCTGGCATGTGCTTATTAGTATGTGTTGGGCATCACTCTCAGCTACTACCACACCAGATTTTAGCTCACAGTTTGTAAAATTGACCTGTAGACATTTTTGTGTTGGCTAAGGTTCATAAGTTGTGGCAGCCATCTTAAATTGAGTTGACTCCAAAAGGTTCTTGTCCCCCATCGTGGAGCGAAGAGGGGAATTGGAAATACCCTCCATCTTTATTGCTAGCAAGATAACTTAAAAAATAATCCATATGCCAACTTCAATTTAAATGTGACTGCATTTTTGATCAAAGTCTTTTTATGTTTTTATTTTTTACATCACGAATACAACAAGAAACAACAAAATCTCCTCCCACCCATCCCTCCCATACTGGATCAGCTGTACAGACTCGCATAAAGCATTCAGGCACTGACACTGTTTCAACATATGACACAAATGGCTGCCAAGTGTCCCAAAATCTCTCAACAGATCCCCTCAGTGTATACCTGTATACCTGCAAACTTGTCGCTTTTCGACAAAATTCACCGATTTCAAACTAAAATATGTAATTTTTGTGAATTGTGTAGTTTCAAAGAGTTTTTTGGGAGTGGTGTTCCAGAGGTGTGGTGGATGACAGCGTTCCTCCTCTTATCTTTATCGCTAGAGCTGCATTTATTTATTTTTTTGCTCGAACCCCAAGCCCAACCTGAAATTCGGGCCGGGCTCGGGCTTTTGATGCAGTTTAAATTGTGCCTGTGGCCCTGCCCGCCCTTTGCTTTTATCACACATTTGAGGATTTGCAGTTGACCCACAACAAGCTACATAATGAACATGGAAAGTATTAAACAAAAGCTAAAAATGGGAGAACTCACTCTACAAAGCCAGCACAGTGAAACCTGCTTATGTGTGTCAGGTGCACGCAGGTCCGACCAGCAGTTGAAAGACTTCTCGGTCACTTGGCTGAACAGGTGCTCATGTCTTCAGGGTTTTTGTCAACAGGGAGGAGGAGCCATCTTCGTGTTTCCTGCTAGCTTAATTCTACGTTAGTGACGTCAGTTGACTGGGGATGGTGGGGTGGGTGTTAGGATGTGTGAGAGAAACGGAGTGTGTAGCATCTTAGCTAGCATGTCTGTATTGTATGCAGCAAGATTTTGCCCTAAGTTTTGAAAAGTCCAGCTGATGGTGTTAGACAGATAGGGCTGGGTACCTTTCTAAAAAAATCAGTGTCGGTTCCTGGACGGTTCTTTTATCGATGGCAGTTTTATGATTAACATAATTTCTAACAATAAAATTACGTTACACATTACAGTACAAATCTTGAGTTTTATTTTTTAACTTTGGTATTTCTATTCCAAGCAGTTTTCTTACATAAAACCAAAATAATTTCCAGTGCAAAAGAACAGTTGCAAACAACAAGTGACATGTGAGTGTTTAATGTTCACTGCTACACACTGAGGACCTTTTAACTGAACAGGTTTTATTCAGAAACATCAACATGTCTTCTTTCTCTGGACACAAACAAGCCCACTCCTGGCTGATGGTGTCTCCAGCAGTAGGAAATGTTCACTCTGAGGGTGTGGATGATGCTTGTTGCACACACAGATACCTGGTTGTCAGTTTGACAGTACTGACATATTGTCCCTCACATTCCACCAGCAGGTCACTGGATTTACTGAGGTTAGAGATGATGCAGACTTCTGCACCTCTGTGTCTCTTCCTGAATCTTCTCTGTGGTTCTCTGGGGTTTAGGGCTCTGATCATCTCTCTAATTGACATGAGAACAAAACATCAACAATAACATGGTTGTGTTATTATTGCTCAAAAACCATTATCTAGGCTGAGAGATAAAGGTTTAACTGGTCAACAACGTCCTTTACAGTTTACTTACCTCCACCATGCGGCCTCCACTGTTAAAAAAAACAAAAGGCAGCAAACTTTTAACAACAAAGTTTGTGACTGTCTTGTGGCCCTCATGTCACTTTTGTCATTTTTCCTTTTGACCTCCTCATATCAGGGTCAGAGGTTCCTGTGAGGAGAACATAAACATAAACAGTGAACATGGGGGGAGTGGTGGCGCAGAGGTTAGAGAGGTGGGCTTGTGATCCAAAGATCGCCGGTTCACGCCCCGGCCCCGACAACATCAAAATTGTGGGTGGGGTAGGTGAAACACCCACACTTGCCCCCACCCTCATTCGCCCCACTCTGGGCCCATGAGCAAGGCCCTTAACCCCCACCATGTGCTCCCTAAACAGGTCTCTCTTGAAAATGAGTTCTCGTGGCTCAATGAGACTAACCTGTATAAATAAAGGCTAAATGAAAAAAAAAAAATTTGGAACTGTTTAAGCAGCTGACCTGATGGATAAGCACATTTTTACAAGCTAAGTTTCATCTGTTACTGTAAATCTTTAGTTAGCTTTTGATTTTAGCTAGTTATATAGATAGCCATAAAATAAATTTACACACTAATATCTTAAAGTTAGCAATACATGGATCCTAGTTTAACTCATGGCGATGCATGTATTAAACTCCAGTAATGTTAACAAACGTGAACTTACCAGCTGAAATCCCAGACACAGCTCCGTCCTCGGTGCGAAGCAGAGTCCGGTCGTGGAGATGTTCAGTCAGGTCGTTCAGGCTCCAACACCCACAGGCTGACTTTAACACTGAGAGGAGGAAGCTGCGGCTCACTTATCTTGCAGACAAACATGGAGCAACTTTCCGCTTGCAAATTGAAGCTGCTCAACTACACACGCGCTGCACACGTGCACCTCGTCTGTGGGCGTAACCAGCGCCATAGACATACGGCTACACGGCAGCTCTATACAGCTCTGGGCGTAAACGTATGTCTGTGTTTTACCTACCTGCATGCTGAAACCACGTGTCACATTACAGCCAATTACCGAAACTTGACACTGAAAGAAGAAGCTTGTTTCAATCCATACACCGACCAAAGCTGTTCGGTTGGTGACATAAAAGAACCTCGGTTCAGTTACAGCCCTATGGACAGAATACCTTGAAGGAGAAATGTTATTTTAGGGAGGAAGAAGCCAAGTAACACAAGTTGTCTGGAAAGTAAAATTGGTGAAATCAGTGATGGGAAAAGAATAGTGGAAAGGAAAACAATGGACGAAGAGAGAGGGATGTTATTCCAAGTGGACTGTGAAGAAAAGGGGAATAAAAGTTAGAAGTGAAGTGTAGAAATTGTGGAACCAAGGTAGGAAGGACCCTGTAAATTATTTAGTTTTAGTAATTACATGCAGGTTGACAAAACTGACAGTGTTTTTTAAATTTTGTGTGACTATTGCTTGGCACAGTGTAATTTAGTGTTGTGAAGGCTGCATGATGTATGTCATTTTCTGTTATGAGTAGGTCTATCACTAAATCAGAAAACGGTAAACCCCCCCCGTTGGTAGTTATTAAAATTTCACCTGTTAATTGAGTTAAGTTAATATTCTTTTTTTAAGCATGCAGTTAATTGTCACCATTGCTTAGCACCCTGGCAAGTTGTGTTTGGAGACCCACTCCAAATGAAGGGATGGCGTCACAGATTTGATCCAGTGATGTCTCCATTCATATAGATAGTTGCTCATATGATAGTGGAGAAACCAGAATTGTTGCCAGATAAATTCAGGTATCTTTTAATTCTCACTGAAAGTCCTCCTCACTTTCCACGTGTCCTTGGGCATCTGTCTCCGAGGTTGAAAATCGCAAGGCGCACAGCGCAGACAGTTCGGTATGTTTGACAGATGAGGGGCTAGTCTTGATAAATAATTATTAAAACTAGATATTGGCAACTTAACATGACAGAGGCTGAGAAGAGTTACGCGATCATAGATGAGCAGAGCAGAGACATCAAAGCAGAAAATACCAAAAATCAAACAAATGGCAAAAACCAAGCAGAGCATACGTGACAGATGGCCGGCTGTGACTGGCACCATCTTGCCTTGGCTTTACACATACAGAGATGTGCTACATTAGAGAACACTATACTATGTACTTTTACTAAGGTAATGCACACAGTATACTGTGTGTATCGCAAGTTTTCAAACAGATGTGTGTGTGTGGAGGGGTGTTCAGCATGAGGGAATCAAAGTGCTACCTCTAGCTTTTTAGCTAGCGTGTCTGTATTGCACGCCGCTAGCTTAGCCCTACATGGGTACCGGCAGTTGTCGACCAGAGGGTGGGGGTGGGGGCTTTGGTTCTGTTTACAGGACGCTGCACCCTGCTTGTATAATGGCAGGGGAAACACTGTACTTTATGTTTATATTAGGGCAGCTGTGGCAGAGTGGTTAGAGCAGTCGTCCTCCAATGCAAGAGATGGGGGTTCGAATCTATCAGCAGTCACATGCCGAAGTGTCCCTGGGCAAGACACTGAACCCCTCGTTGCCTCAGATGTGTGTCCCATCAGTGTATGAATGTAGTAAAGCTCCGATTAGTCTCTTTAGAATGATTTGTTCAGTAAGCTTTGTAGAGATCTATTAGAGTGCTGTATGAATGGGTAAATGAGGGCACAGATTGTAGTGTAAAGAGCTTTCAGTATCTTGATAAGATAGAAAGGGGCTGTACAAGTACACTTCATTTACCATTTATTAACGTGATGTATACAGTATACTCTTCTTTATGTGAAAACCTTAAAGAGGTGACCAGTATGCAAGAAAAGGCTCTCAAATGTGTGGTATTGAGTGTGTATATGTGTGTGTTTTGGGTGTGATTGGGTTTGGGCTTCTCCACGTGTAAGATTGAACCAACATCAGTCTCCATCCAAACGAACGTCTGTGTATTCGCCACTGTATATGTTACTGTTTTCATCGTTGACACTGAGGTGTGTGTGTGAACCTTTCTTTTAAGATATAAAAATTACTGCTCCACCTAGTGACC